CATTTTTCCAAAAATACCCTTTTTGTGTTCCAGGATCCCCAATTGACTTAGTCATTATTCCTCCTAGTCTCCTCCAATCTGTGATAGTTCTTTATCTTCCGTGACCTTGACATTTTTGAAGAGTACTGATCAATTGTTTTGTAGAATGTTCCTCAAATAGGGTTTGTCTGCTGTTTCCACACAGTTGGAACAAGATTATGCACTTTGACAAGAATGTGTCCTTCTTAGTGCATCATATCAAGTGGTTCATGATGTTGATAAGTGTTATTACTACTGGTGATGCTGACCTTGATTTAGTTAAGGTAATGTTTGTCAGGTTTTTCCACTGGAAAGTTCCTGTCTTTCCCTTTGTAGTTAATAAATACTTTCAAACTATGTAATTCCTCTTCCTCCTCACACTTTTGCCCACTGATTTTAACATCCATCTATGGTTGTGGAAATAAATTTAATAATAAATGGAGTTTATTATGTGGATCTTTGTAAGTTACTGCTAAGCCACCTAGGTGGGATCATTTCTGAGGATAGGCAGATTTGGTAGAATTTATTAAACTAGCTAGAAACCTAGGTATTAGTTTTAATGTTATAACTAGGAAATGGCAGACAGGTTTAACCCCATCATGTTAAACTCATGTGCTTTTTAGAGTGATTAGCTCCATTTGCCTGGGATGGAAGGGACTCCAAGGGCAGGAGACCTTCAGAGCTGACCTGGGAATGTTCCAGGCAAATGAGATGAGTTGGTCACCCTGGGGATCAGGTAGTCGTCTTTAAAAAGAACTTAATGCTTATAAATGCATAGAGTAGTTGGTTTTGTTGCTTTACTTTTTCTTCTTTAAAGATTTTTATTTTTAAGTAATCTCTGTACCCAGCATGGGGCTCAAACTTCCAACCCCAAGATCAAGGGTCACATGCTCTACCAATTGAGCCAGCCAGGTGCCCCTGTTTTTCCTGTTTTAATCTCAAGTGTTGTAGAGTCACGTGGCGCTGATAACCGACCCTAGTTGATTAGCTTTTCCTCATGCTGGATCTCCCTCTGAGTTTTCATGAATGATCTCTGTGACTACTTTGGCAGAAAAGAGAGGATCAAAAGCAGATGTGGAGTTTTCAGCCTTGGCTGTACATTATAGGCACCTTGGGAAACGAGGCAGTTAAAAAATACAGACCTCTTGGCCCTCCTCTAAACAATTAGAATAGAATTCCTGGGAGAGGGGCCTAGGGTTTGTTAAAATTTTTTAAGTTCTCTGGATGTTTCTAAGGTGTGGCTAGGGTTGAGAACCACTGAAGCAGAGAAGGATGTGGAACCATCATGTAACCGTTTATGGTGGTGAGGATGTGTTTGTTCTGTTTGTGTCTCTGTTCTTGTAGTTTCAGCTGCCTTCAGTGAAAAGGTTGAAAGAAATAGCGAATACTTGGTATGAATGCTTACTTCCTTTAAAAACCTCAGTTGTGAATTTTTACTATTAAAACTCCAAATGCAATAAGATACTGTTACATTTTATTTTTTTAAAGACTGTATTTATTTATTTGACAGAGAGAGAGAGAGAGCACAAGCAGGGGGAAGCAGCAGGCAGAGGGAGGAGGGGGAAGCAGGCTCCCTGCTGAGCAGGGAGCCCGATGGATGCGGGACTCGATCCCAGGACCCTGGGCCAAAGGCAGATGCTTAACTGACTGAGCCACCCAGGTGCCCCGATACTGTTACATTTTAAATTGCGAAGATTAAAAAGTTAAGATTTGTCAGGAACTATCAACAGAATATTTCTGCAAGTTGAATTCTCACTGAGCCAAAGTTTTTCTAGCTAAGCTTTCTTTCCAAGGCAGTTGGTTGCCTATATAGGCAAAGAATTTTGAGGTTGTTCTCACATCTCCTATCCCAATTCCCACTAAATAAAATCATTTCTTTGCTTCTTGTTTATTTTCTTTTAATTACTTGCTTTATCTGGAAGATGGTCCCAAGAAACAAAAATGAGGAAGTAGGGAAATGAGACAAGGCAGGTAGGAAAGCTACCCACAGTGGTGTCAATGAGCAGCTTTAGGTTCACTCCCGATAAGAGAGCCTCTGAGAAGCTGTGTGGAGCAAACTCAGAATCACCCCAGTTGAATATGGGAGACTGCAACATTTATCCACCTTCCTCCATGCCCCTTTGTTTGAGGGGTGCCCTCAGAACGTTCATTCCCATATCCCTGGTATCTATGTGCAGTCAACTAAGTTCTGTGGTACCAAAGAAAACCTCAGGCAGAAAAGAGATGCTTTTTTTTTCCTTAAGATTTTATTTTTGAGTAATCTCTACACCCAACGTGGGGCTCGAACTCACAACACTGAGATCAGGAGTCACGTGCTCTACTGACTGAGCCAGCCAGGCGCCCCTGGGCTTATTTATTTTTTATTACTTTCCCCCTCATTCCAGTAGTCTTGTCTTGAGGAGATCGCTTAGAGGTTTTATTGCACTGTGGTCACTGTCACTTCAGAAGCAGCAGAGGGCGCCGCTCAGAAGGTTTCCTGCTTCTGGACGCGGAGCTGGTGTTTCCTCCAGGGCACTTGCGGTCATATGACTGCTTTGAAGAATTTCACTCCTTGGCTGGGATCCCAATTCTTTTTTATTTTGGTTGGGGCTTTGGAAGCATCACCTCAGTGGATGGAAATAACTGTTGGGCTGGTTATTTTAATAAATGTAAAGATAGTAAATCGAACCAACTGCCTTATCCTAATTGGTATAAACATAATGTTGCTCTCAACACTTTTACAAATTAGTGTGCTGAAAAATGCATTCAAGACTTGGGATTCATCTTTTATTTCATTCTTGTACCAGTGATTTCAGAAAACACAAAAAGGTTTTCCCTTACTATTTCTGCTTTTATTTTTTATTTTATTTATTTATTTATTTATTTATTTATTTATTTATTTAAAGATTTTATTTATTTATTTGAGGGAGAGAGAATGAGAGAGAGCACATGAGGGGGGGGAGGGTCAGAGGGAGAAGCAGACTCCCCGCCGAGCAGGGAGCCTGATGCGGGACTCAATCCAGGGACTCCAGGATCATGACCTCAGCCGAAGGCAGTCGCTTAACCAACTGAGCCACCCAGGCGCCCCTATTTCTGCTCTTAAAATTTACTTAGAGTTGAAAAACCAAGAATGTCATTGGTTGTTGAACTTCTGAGCTTGCAGTTGACCTGAGGTGACTGCTATCACTATAAAATCAGGGACAGGGACCTTGTCTCCCCAGGGCTTCTGACAGTGGCTTAAATATAATAGGTATTCAGTGAATATTGATCGATTGAATGATGGATACTGAAGCTTTGAGATCGCAGCCACACTTCAAGTCAGGGTCTGCCTCCACTCATAGTCAATTTAATAATCCCTTTTGGGGAAAAATTATAAATATTTCATGGAAGATATATCTTAATTATAAGAACTCTTGAATTCTGATAGGTCAAAAAAAATGTGCACTTCCGTTGGTCCTTCAATGTTGTAGGTCATAGACAACTTTGAAAATGTGGTCTGTACTCTGGAACCTTTCCATAGGAAAACATGTACATTCACAGAACCTCGCCTGCGATGCCTCAAGCCGGCTGCAGAGCTGCTAGGGAAATCTGTGGACCTTCCGTTAAGGCCGCTCTTCTGTCTCTCCCGAGTTGCTTTTCCCAGCCATGGCAGACACGACAAGAGGAGATTCTTTCTTTCTTTCTCTTTCTTTCTTTCTTTCTTTCTTTCTTTCTTTCTTTCTTTCTTTCTTTCTTTCTTTCTTTCTTTCTTTCTTTCCTTCTTTCTTCTTTCTTTCTTTCTTTCTCTCTCTTTTTCTTTCTTTCTCTTTCTTCTTTCTTTCTTTAAGATTTTATTTATTTGACACAGAGAGAGAGAGAGCACACAAGCAGGGGGAGCAGCCGAGGGAGAGAGAGAAGCAGGCTCCCCGCAGAGCAGGGAGCCCGATGCGGGGCTCGATCCCAGGACCTTGGGATCATGACCTGAGCCGAAGGCAGACGCTTAACCGACTGAGCCCCCCAGGCGCCCCAAGAGGAGATTATTTCTGTGCGACATGTCTAAATATTTTGTTTTCTTCCACAGGGCTTATTGACTATAATTTTCATTGCTTCCGGAAAGCCATCCATGAGGTTTTTGAGGTGAGGATGAAAATGGTGAAATCACGAAAGGTTCAGAATCGGCTGCAGAAGAAAAAAGGAGCCACCCCCAATGGGACCCCTAACGTGCTGCTGTAGTGAGGCTTCGGGAGTGTCTTTGCGCATCAGACCTTTCGACGAGGCCGCTGCGCTGTGTTGCACTAAAGGAAGAGGGAAAAAAAAGGAGATTGGGACACATGACGTATTTGTTGTACAAAAAAAAAAAAACAAAACAAAACCCTGCAACCTTCTTGATCTTCTCTTTTTTAAATAAAGTGAGCACTTTGAAGCCAAAACTTGTATTTTAACAATGAAGTAAAATCTACTGTAATTTCGTTACACAGATGTAAACTTTTATGGTCTGTAGTCAGATACTCCTGGGTGAGGACTGCCAGGAACTGTATATATTTTGCTCTTTTTCATGTTTTTTTTCTTTGAACTTTGATAAAACGACTTTTCTAAGCTTTTCTCTGTACTTGGTGTCAAGGACATGCATACTGTAGTGTAGTTCAGATCTCTATGGCAATCAGAAATCAAAAAGCAATGCACTGGCAATGACTTTTTTTTTTTTTTATAAATTTGGGAATCTTTGCTACTAATTATTGAGAAAAATCATTTTTCAGTGAGCTGGAACAGATTGGGGCAGCAAGCTCCAGGAGCAATAAGAACTGTCTCCTGTTTATAACTGGTATAAATGGGAGTTTTGTAGAATAACATTAGCACCAAACTTACCTAAAAATTTCTATAGCTGTGGCAGGACTTCCCTACTCAACAGTTTTTACAAAGCTCTTTACCTCAACACACATCTCTAGAATCATTTTATACAGAGAGGTTATTCCTTTTTGCTGCATTTCTGTTCTTCAGAACCTTCAGGACCAGATTTCCAAAACGGTGCCAATCATGGAGAGAAAGAGGAATGTTGCATTACAGGGTTTCTGGAGGCTGTTCTGTACCTGCCACTCAGGCTGAAGTTACATCAGAGGTCACATGGTTTCCCAAATGTAGGTGATTGGTTACCTACAGATATAAAAATAGATATACAGTTTGTATGTTTGGCCCCTGGGGAGTGGGCTTGTTGTGCAACATTTAAAATGTTTATTTAGGATCATGAGCACGGGGAATGTCTCATGAGGATCTCTACCACAGAGCATGATCCTGGTGAGCACATTTGTCAGCCCTGAGCCTCCTGCTCATCCACGACGGTGTGCCTTGTGGACTCTGCCCGTTCCCACCTTAGGGTTGAACTAGAGCTCAGGGGCCAGCAGCAAATCCCTAACCATCAACGGGAAGAGGACGGCCAGGGTGGGGCGTTACAGTCAGCTCTGTGTTTCCAAGAAATTCTTCCACTTTGGTTTACTTCAGACTTTCAGGACGTTAAGGGACCCCCTAAATCTCCCATCACCCCAAACCATTCCTGGTAGATAGTTCTATGTCCATTAGGTAATTCTGTGTCCGTCCCAAGGGTCAGTGCCCGAAAGCCTACTTGTGGGTATTAGAAAATAATTTTATGGATTTATGTATCTTTAAGCAAAGACTCATAAGGAAATCAAAGCTGGTCCTAGCAAAATGTACCAAGTTCCTAAAGCGACTTGCCCTTGAAACTATCCCACTTCTATCCGTGGCTTCCTTCCATCCTCTCTCCTTCCCTCCCCAAGTCCTATTTCTTTGAGGCTGCTAATTGCAATGCAAGATGGTAGCTGATTGAGGTGTAAGGTTTGAGTCTTCCCAAGGGTCTGTGCATTTTGGAAAGAAATTTCTAAAAATCATTAAGGCGCCCAACTCCCTTCCTCATGATTCCTGCTCAGAAACCTGGGTAGGTAGGAACCCAGGGTTCCAAAGGAGACTTTTCCTTAATTTCTAGGCCTGTATCCTGTTGCATCTTTGGATCTTTGCCAACAGGTTTGGTACAGATGGGTTATTCTTATAAATTTAATGTTCTAATATTTTTTACACAATGTTTCTTTTTGATTAACAAATAAAGAATCACTTTTCTAATGTGACTTTATCCTCAAGGTAGAGACACTTACCTATCTGGTTAATCACACATTACTAAGGTATATTATATATTATTGTAACCAGGAGGAGTTTCCATTTTTAAGCTGGGTATATGATGGGTTTTTGTTAAAATGTGCCTTAAAAGTCTATTACTTCAGGAGCAAATGATTTTTTTTGGGAAAAGCAAAAATCATCTTATGGCATAGGACTTGAGTTCATGGTAGTAAGTGCACTCTTTGATCACACACTAATACATTAAGATTACTGCCTCAAACCTGTAGCATGGCAATGACCTCTTAGTTAAAGACAGATGTAGGAGTTATGTCTAAATGTTCGATTTTTTTAAGTCTGTGCTATTGGAATTACAGAATCTCTTCTATTCCTTTTGCATTTTATTTTCGATATGGAACTTAGCTTACTGCGATGTGTATGGCCATGTTTAGGTCTCAAATCTAATGCTATAAATACAAAGCCCAAATACATGACTACAGTGACTTCTCTGGAACATGTTTGCTCATTTTCAAAGGTTGAGAACTTGACCTACAGGTTTCTGGGCAATTAGAACTTCTATGTGGAGGTAAGACTGTGAATTACCATCTTTGGTTATTTTTAGTGATATAAATGAGTGTGTATGACCAGGGTAGAGTGTTTTTGAAGGAATATAAATTAAAAAAAAAAACCAAAAACAACTGGTTGGCATTCACGGACAGTGTTGTTTTGTGAGCATAATATATTTTGGACCCTTAAATATAAAGTGACTAGAAACACAGCAATATTGTTATATACGGGTTATATGCTAACTCTGTTTGAGACATACTCCAGAAAAATGGCTGAACTGTCTTGATTATTAAAGTATGGTATGCATTTAACTTCTATAGACTGGTTGTAATTTGTAATCAAGCATAGTATTATGTTTTACTTTAAGCAGTACATAATTTGTAATTATTGCTAAACCATTTCTTTCAAGAATGTTAACTGCCAATTTAAAAGCACGTGTCAAGCTCATTATTTGGTAAGGCTCTCGTTTTATTTCAAGCATATTCATAACTAAGCATTCTGGGAACAGAAAATTCTCTTTGGTGAAGCGTAAGTATGGCCCGTCCTGTTTGTGAGGTTGTTGACCATACATGAATATCATTGCTTTACTTGGCCCTGTTGGGTCCCTTTAGTAAAATGTTTGTCCTGATTAACCAGCTTTCATTTTATGGAAATGAGGATAAATCACTCTATTTGCACTTTTATTTTTATTATATTTTTCAACCCCCTTATCTCTCCACATTTTTGATGGGAACATGGCTGTTTGGAATATAGAACTGTTTTTTGTTTTTGTTTTTGTTTTTTCAGTAAACTTCAGACACTAATTCTTGCTGCTCTGGTCCTAATCCCTAGCCATCTGGAAATTCTTTTCCAAACTGTCTACCTTATCGATTCTGACTTGCTTCGTAGGATTCCACTCTGTAATGACTTTTACAGATCCTTAGTTCCCAGAGAAGACTAGCTTTAGATGTTATATTTTATATACAAAATTCTTTTTTTTTAAAGATTTTATTTATTTATTTGACAGAGAAAGACACAGCAAGAGAAGGAGCACAAGCAAGGGGAGTGGGAGAGGGAGAAGCAGGCTTCCCGCTGAGCAGGGAGCCTGATGCGGGGCTCGATCCCAGGACCCTGGGATCATCACCTGAGCTGAAGGCAGACGCTTAACGACTGAGCCACCCAGGCGCCCTATATACAAAATTCTGTTTCTGAATGGAAAGCCTGATCAAAAATAAGATTTTTCTAAGATTTTTAATCGGTAGTAATGTTGAGTTTAGGAGAAAGAAAATGTTGTCTTTGACAGAAGTACTTACCGATAATATATAATGATTGAGTGCACACAATATTTCAGGCTCTTCAGTGCTTTTATGGAAGTTATCTTCATAAAACCAAGTGGGTACTATCATCACTCCTATTTTACAGATCAGGCAACTGAGGGCAGAGAGTTGACATAACTTAGTCAAGATCACATAACTAGTAAGACACAAGGCTGGGAGTCTGGCTGGAGAGTCCACCCCCTCGATACTGTTCTGGGGCGCCTGGGTGGCTCAGTTGGTTGGGCAGCTGCCTTTGGCTCAGGTCACGATCTCTGGGTCCTGGGATTGAGCCCCACATTGGGGTTCCTGCTCAGCAGGGAGTCTGTTTCTCTCACTTTCTCTCCCTTTTCCCCTCCCCACTGCTTGCTCTCTCTCTCTCAATCTCTCTCTCTCTAATAAATAAATAAATAATATTTTTTTAAAAAAAATACTGTTCTAAGCAGCTGTACCACATGCCCTCCCTTCACAAATATGAAGATGGGGACTTGAAGTTTAGGATTTACTGCTGCATGGGGTTATGAAAGGTAAAATGCTGGAAATTTAAAAAGAAATACCTTTTCTCACAGGAGAACCAATAAGAGCAGCCTTCTAAATGTACTTCACTCAAGATTATGCCTTCTTCTACCTAATCCAATGCAGAAAATAATTTTAACAGAGAGTGTTTAAATATCAGAAGAGAATTTAAATACCTTTTCCAGACATTCGGTTTTCTAAGAAGCAAAAGTATATCAAATTCTGAGAAAATCAAGAGAGAATAAGCCTTTGATCTTAGCTGGATTCAACCTTTACTTCAATATGTTCAACCATATTTATAGAAAACAAAACACCGATCTGTATTAAAATTCAAAAAGATACATTTCAATCCTAACCTTTTCTTGACCTGCAGACCTACCTTTAAAAGTATACTTTTGCTGGAATCTTCTGTAAGAGGACCCTTTGATGGAACATGCCCCAAACTGAACTCACGTCCTTCTTGCTAAATCTTCTCCTTCTGTGTGTGAAGATGCTCCCTGCAGTTCCTGTCAGAAACATGGGCCTCCTTGACTCTCTTTTCCTGCTCGCTCCATCCAATCAACCACCCAGTTCTTTCAGCTCAGCCTTATAAACATCTATTCAATCTATTCTCTCCATCTCTTTTGCCACTATCCTGGTTTAGGTCACCATCTCCTCTTATGTGGATCTCAATAGCCTCTTTTTTTTTTTTTTTTTTAAGATTTTATTTATTTATTTGACACAGAGAGAGACAGTGAGAGAGGGAACACAGGAGGGGGAGTGAGAGAGGGAGAAGCAGGCTTCCCCGCGGAGCAGGGAGCCCAATGCAGGGTTCGATCTCAGGACCTCGGGATCATGATCTGAGCCGAAGGCAGACACTTAACGACTGAGCTACCCAGGCGTCCCTCTCAATAGCCTCTTAACTGACATCTCTCCCCCACATCCGTCCATCCATTCACTCCATTCTCCACACAAGACCCAGAGTGACCTTTCTAAACCACCACCATTCTGACCATATCAGTTTCTTGCTTACTATCCGTCATAGCTCTCCATTATAGATATCAGTCAAACTCCTCAGTAAAGTTTGCAAGAACCTGCCTCCCTGGTTCTTACCTTCTGCGCCCTCAACAGAGGTGAGCCAGCATGCCTGTATAATGCGTGATAAGTAAGAGGAACCATGAGTCTTGACTCCCTTCTTTGTCAGTCATTTTCTGAGGGAAATGATAATTTTTTTCATTCATCAGTGACTGATAGGACACCTATCATATGCCAGACATTGTGCTTAATAAAATAGCTAAAAGGCAGATTTTAGAGATGCAAGGATTTTAGTAATAGAAAATAAAGCACTTTACAGAACTGGAGGAGTTAACCCTTTATGGAATCCATTTTAAACTCTTTGTTGTTGTTGTTGTGAGCCACAGTAAGTACAATTCACGCTGCAAACTATCACATACACCTATAAATATTACTTTTTTTAAGAGTTTATTATTTTTATTTTTATTATTATTTTTAAAGATTTTATTTTTAAGTAACCTCTACATCCAACGTGGGGTATGACCTCACAACCCTGAGATCAAGAGTCACACGGTCCACCAACTGAGCCAGCCAGGTGCCCCTTATAAATATTACTTTTATTTTTTATTTTCATTTTTATTTATTTTAAGTGAGCTCTATGCCCAATTTGGGGCTTGAACTCATGACCCTGCAACCAAGAATCACATGTTCCACTGACTGAGCGAGGCAGGTGCCCCATAAATATTACTTAAAAAAAAAAAAACTCACAAAGTAGTATCCTTCCCACATGCAATGCATTCTAGTATTTTTTTTCTTTATTTCCTTTTTAAAAAAGATTTCACAATCCACTAATGAATGGGTCATGACCTGCAATTTGTGAGGCATTGCTGGAGTAAATGAATCCATTGGCCAGATCAGAGATACATAGATTTTCTTTTTAGCCTAAAATATTTTCCTTCCCTCTCTGTTAATTTTTATTTATTTATTTATTTATTTATTTATTTATTTATTTATTTATTTATTTATTTCTACTAGTTTTTCTTTTTTAAAGATTTATTTATTTATTTTAGAGAGAGAGAGTGAGCATGTGAACACATGCATGGGGGAGGTGGGACAGAGGGAGAGCGAGGTAGAGAATCTCAAGCAGACTCCCCACTGAGCACAGAGCCCTATGTGGGACTCAACTCCATGACCCTGAGATCATGACCTGAGCCAAAATCAAGAGTCAGGTGCCTAACCGACTGAGCCACCCAGGCACCCCTCCCTGTCTGTTCATTTTTTTAAACAAAATTTTTGAAAGGTTTTATTTATTTATTTGACAGAGAGAAACACAGCTAGAGAGGGAACACAAGCAGGGGGAGTGGGAGAGGGAGAAGCAGGCTTCCCGCAGAGCAGGGATCCTGATGCAGGGCTCGATCCCAGGACCCCGGGATCATGACCTGAGCCAAAGGCAGACACTTAACGACTAAGCCACCCAGGCACCCCTCTTCATTTTTTTTTTAAGATTTATTTATTTATTTGAGAAAGAGATTGTGAGAGAGAGAAAATGTATGGGGAGGGGCAGAGGGAGAGAATCTCAAGCAGACTGCCTGATGTGGGGCTACCTGAGATCATGACCTGAGCCAAAATCATAAGCAGGTGGCTCAACTGACGGAACCACCAAGGTGCCTCTCCCTCTCTGTTAATTTTACAATCTTAACAAACATAGGGGAAATTCTGAGAAGGTTCTTGAATTTTTCTCTCACTTGATCAGGGCTTTCCGCTGTGTTTACCAGAGTCGTTTTAATTTTCATTGCCATCTCTTGGATGTTTTTGTACAGTGGGTTGTGGGGGATCCATCCTGGCAGGATCATCTTTTACTATAGACTCTATCATTGACTATAATAAATAATTAACTTTATTTTTTTAAGTTTTTATTTATTTATTTATTTAGAGAGCACGCACATATGTGGGTGGGAAGGGCAGAGGGGGAGGGAGAGAGAGAATTTCAAGCAGACTTTGCTCTGAGCACAGAGCCCGACACTTAACCGACTGAGCCACTCAGGCACCCCAGTAATTAACTTTACTGGGAGTTTAGGGACTCATGAGTTTAGATCTAACTTCTATGGGTCCTTTGTTAATTCAGACAACATTAGTCTTATCCAGTATCAAGAATCTACAAGTTTTGCCCTTTTGTGTTATTTTGACACTCCCAAGAAGCAGGTGTACAAGGCCCTTCCCCATGAAAGGGAGTTGATCTAGCTGCTACACTCAGTGTGGAGGAGAGCATTAACCAGCTGCCTGAGGTCTTGACCACCCTGCTTCCTCAATCTGTACTAATAAGGTGCTGGGGCAAGGAGGATCTTTCTGATATCCCAAAACTGCATAAAAAAACTAAGGTGTGGGGCGCCTGGGTGGCGCAGTCAGTTAAGCGCCTGCTTTTGGCTCAGGTCATGATCTCAGGGTCCTGGGATAGAGCCCCATGTCGGGCTCCCTGCTCAGCCATCTCTACCTCTGCCCTTCCCCCCTGCTCCTGCTCTCTCTCTCTCAAATAAATAAAATCTTAAAAAACAAACAAACAAACAGCTAAGACCCTTTCCCTGAATGCCCAACTACAGTAGAGCAATTAAGACCTATTTCTTCCATGCTAATGCAGGCCACCCCAAGATGGGCCAGTCTGGTGTGAAGATTGAGCCGAAGGCAATCAAGACCCTGTAGGCTCAAGAGGAACTTCTGCCCCTCCCTTACCCACACAGAAGAATCTAAATTGGGGGTATTTCCCAGAATAAGGATTATTAGCAGAGATAAGGTTTATCTGAGTGACCTATCTGTATGGTAGGGCAAACATCTAATTACCAAATATGTGCTTTATTTCTTATCGCCCTGTGCAGTGCATTCCTTTCCTCTGAAGTCCCAGATCCCCACCCCCTTCTCCTTAGTTCAGAATGGCATATAGACGTCAATTTTGCCTGTCTTTGGAGTTTCCATGTCTGTATGGATTCCCCGCACGTATGCTATTAAATTTGATTTTCTCCTGTTTATCTGTCTCATGTCAATTTGATTTAGTTCAGCCAGAAGGACCTTGAGGGGGACAGGAGTTCTTGCTCCCGACACTTAACCTTACCATCTCTGTGGACAATTCCACTCCTGCAAGCTGATTCTGGTTGCTTCCACCTTCCATTATTGCCTAAGTCCTTGTGTGGCTACTGGCCAATTGTTGCTTGCTTCTGGCCATGCTGAGAGCTCAGGGCTGTAATACCCCACCTTCATCAACTAGTCAGTAAGCAGGAACAAACTCCAGACTTCTCCCAGACCTCTGCAAGCAACTTTGGTCACCCTGCTTTCACCTCCCCTCCATGGGAAGCAGACAACAGTGGGGCTGACTGGGAGGGACCAGTCCTGTTTGCCTTTCCATCTCAGTGGGAGAGGAGAGAATTCAGGTTAATAAGGTGCAAGAAAAGGCACCACCACATTCATGTCCTACCATTTCATTTAATGCTACAGTCCAGTGCTTTCCAAAGTTACCTGATCTTAAGAATCATCTAGGGTGTTTAAAAGTGTAAATTCCCATCTCTACCCCAGTCTTCTTGAATCAGAATTTCTGAGGAGAGGTCTGGGAATCTGTATTTT